AAAAAAAATTTAAAGAGAGAGGGTTAAAAGAATAAATAAAAGAAAGAAAAGTTCAAAAAAATTGGCCAAAAAAAAAAAAAAAGCTTCTTTCCTATTTTTTCCGATGGCTCATTTTTTCTAACGTTTTATTTTTTTCCAACGTCCCATTTTTTTCTGATATCTCATTTTTTTTCAACTTCTTATTTTTTTCAATATTTTATTTTTTTTTGACGTCTTATTTTTTCTATATGCCTTTTCATAAGATAATATATCAAATAGTTCAGTTTTAAATATAAGTTTTGTAAGTTCTATAATAGAACTTTTGATAGTTAGTAATTATAGTAAAACAACTTAAAGATGGATGGCACAAATGTGTTACCCATTGCATTATAATTTATAATTATATAATTTATTTATATACTTATTAGCTTTATATATATTATTTTGATTTTACTTTAAATGTATATTCAATTTTATTGTATTTACTGCCAACTACTGTAATTTTTTTGTATTAACAAGCTTTAATAAAAGCAAATAAGTTTAAGTTGCAAAAAATGCAAATGATATACAGCATAATTATTATATTTGTACTAAAAATACATTTTAATCACTATTAAAAATTAAACCTTTTATGCATTTGAAACTTTTAGCATAATTACATAGAGTTTGTCAGTCTCCAACAGTATCTATTCCATATAGTTCAAAGTCTTCTTTTGTTAATCTTAGTAAGTTTTTTACTGTAACACATTGTGCTTTAAATTTTTCTAAAAAATCTTGATAATGATGACTTGTTCTTTTCTTTTTATCTACTTCTTTCAAGAACTCTTGCATAGTAGGTAAAACAAAAGAAATACATGAATTAGGTTGAATAGTCTGAGTCTGAAAAGATAATAGATAATATGGATTATATGGGTTTAAAGATATTATGTTGGAATAGGATACTAATAAACAAGATAGTTTAAAAATTTATCAATATTGAAAGGTTTTGTTAAAAATATTCTTCAAAATATTTTTAACTGAATATCTTTAACAGTAGATATTTGGACTTTACAACAACAGCTCAGTTATAGTTCAATTACAGTACATTTTTTAAATAATAATCTGGAGTATATAAGTTTTCTTATATCATTTAAATCAATACACTTTCCACTAGGATTTCGCAATTTGATTTGATTTGATTTAATATGATCAAATATTTAACTTCAAATCAAATTCAAATCAACTTCAAATCAACTTCAAATTTGATTTAATCAAATTCAAATTGGATAATTATTTGATTTGAATTTGATTATCAAATATATCAAATATTTGATTTGATTTGAATTATCTATCTATAAATT